TACATTACATACATACATACGTACATACATAAATACATACACACATACATACATACATATATGGGGAGACTAAGGGATGCCATGATCCTTAACAAGAGGTCTCAAGGTCCCACACGCCCCACATCCCACTTCCAGGACTCCTCCACAACTGTCTCCAAGACGCCGTCCGGCTTGAAGCAGGCACAAGCCTTTTTAGGCTTTAGGGTTTGGGGTTTAGGGTTTAGGGTTTGGGGTTTCGTTTTGAGATGGATGTGTTTGGTACTGTCGCTCTTGACTTTCATCTTTCCGCAATCCGTCTTGCTGAGTCTTGCTCGTTCTCAAAAAATATAGTGATCACGATGCCTCAAAATGCCCTCTAATCCCTGCAAAGACTGCATCAAGGCAATGCGCATGGGATGTCGGGTACCAATACGAACATTGCCCGCGACCTTTCTAAGCACAGACATGTTCCCTGATCCGTCTATATGCATCATGGGGCCACATACGGAGCAAAAGTCCGTACCACATATAGCCCATATGAAACTCTCAGAGCACCACCCAAAGAGTGGCAAACCCGAATTTAGGGTCTTGCCGCAAGGGACAGAGATCTTCTCCGCCAGGTCTGCCAAAGCGTCCATGTCGACTCGGAAAGCTATTTTGCTGCTCTCCTGGTTCGGTCTAGGGATAGAGAGCCCAATAGCCCTTAGTTCTTTAAGCCATGGGACCTCTACGTGTCCTGATTGCCAAGGAATATTCTGCCTGTCCTGTCTAGAGTTTGATGTTTAGGGGCCTAATACTGTGATCTAAGGTATCTCCCTTGATTAAGGGGTATTGCTGCTTCGCTTTGGGGATTCGATTGGGGCTTAGGGTGCCTAGGATCATGCTGATATCCTTTGGGTTTCAAGCAGGGACTAGGGCTTATGGATGTTGAGGATCTTCGATTACGGCTTCAGGTGTTCATGTAGGATCTTGCTGGTATCCTGTGGGTTTCACGGTCTCGGATCGATGGTGTCTTGCCGCTATCCTGTCACTGCTTGGTAGTTTATTACAAGAACGGTAGGAGCTCATAGGCTTGGACAAGGCTGTTTAGGGTTGAGGTGTTGGTAGGTTTGTGCTATTGCCCGTGACTTTGTTAAAGGGCCCAAGTCCACTTCGAAAGCATTCTAGGTGAGCATTAATGAGCCGTGTAGAGTATGATGTGGGTGCAGGCTGCAGTGGCTTCGCTTTGCAAGCCTAGGGTTTTGGGCTGAGGGTTTGGAGTTAAGAGAAAGTGCTGCCTAACAGAGCAGCACGCCTAAGCCAAACCATTCCAGCCCAAAACTCAAGCCCCAACCCCTTGAGGCGTAGTAGAGGGTTCTATAACAAGGTTTGGGGGGTTGCTTTGCGGGTTCAACCCCAAACCCCTAAACCCTAAACCCCAAATCCTCAACCCTAAACCCTGAACCCATAAGGTCCCTTTGGGGGTTCCTTTAAGGGTTCCCTTAAGGGAACCCTAAACCCTAAACCCTAAACCCTAAACCTTATAAATCCTAAACCCTAAACCCTAAACCATATAACGTCGACTTTGAAGAACCCCGCGCGCTCGGGGCTCCAGAAGATCCTCCCATAACTGCCGCAGCTGCGACCGACAGAGCTCCTGCAAGAGGTTTCGGAGGGCTTCGAGTTTAGGGTTTAGGAGGGTTTGGGGTTTAGGGTTTAAAGTTTAGGGTTTAGGAGGGTTTGGGGTTTAGGGTTTAAAGTTTAGGGTGTAGGAGGGTTTGGGGTTTAGGGTTTAAAGTTTAGGGTGTAGGAGGGTTTTGGGTTTAGGGTTTAAAGTTTAGGGTTTAGGAGGGTTTTGGGTTTAGGGTTTAGGAGGTTTAGGAGGGTTTAGGGTTTAGGAGGGCTTAGGGTTGACGGGATTAAGGGCAGGGTTTAGGGTTGTCAGGCTTAGGGTTGTAAGGCTCAGGGTTTAGGGTTGTAAGGTTTATAGGGTTTAGAGTTTAGGGGATTAGGGATCGGATTAGGGGCTAGGATTTAGGGTTTAGGGTTCAGGGGCTTTGGGTTTAGGAGTGTACTTCAAGGATCATGGGACTGAATAACGAGGACTCTTTAAGTCCCATGATCACCCAAGTAAGATTTATAGGATTTAAATTTAGGTCTGGGAGTTTAGGGTTCTGGGGTTAGGGTTCGGGGCTTACGATTACAGTGCAGGGATAAGGTGCACAGGGGCGGCTACAAGTACTTTATGGGATTTGTAAGGTGTATACGAGTTTAGTAAAGTTCTAGGTGGGTTTAGATGGATTTAGGGCTTCGTGTTCCATGTCTGAAAGGGGCTGGCTGTATAATCATTAGATTAGACCTTCGGGTATATTCTACGCTAACTATCGGTTTTTGTACAAGTATACCAGTTATGATCATATCAATAAGTGACCCGAGGAAGAATACCACATAATTGCGATCCCTAGCCCCATCACTAACGCCTAAAACCTCCTATCTACCCCGAGTCAGGGAAACCCAAATTTAAAGCTGCATTTTGTTCTTTGGTGGAGAGCATTGAAAACAGCTGAAAATCAGCAGGGGCCTGTCACTCATACCCATTATGCCTAAATCAACAGAATAGTAATATTCCTCTCGGGGTTGAGAGGTGAGCTTGCCTGTGTTGGAAGGTTTTGAGACTTGAGGTTGAGGGTCTATAGGGGCGAAACGTTGAATACCCATGGTTTACGGGCTTCGGGCTTATTGTTCATCCCTTTGTGCATGCTCTTTTGGTGCTGCCGGGTTTTATGTCCAGGGCGTTCATGCCCTCTTCCAGCATTATGCTGGCAAGGCGCTCCCCGCAGCAGCTGATGCATGTGTGGAGAGCTGGCAGCCGCCCACTACAAATTGGAGACACGATGGTCAGAGACTTCTGGCAGAGGGTGCGGTACCCATAGGCCCCATAGTAGTTCCTTTTTGGGATTCCCTAATAGAATCCTAAAAGCCACAAAAAGGAACTACTATGGGGCCTAAGGGTAGGGCCATCAGCCAGCCCCTGGCCACGCCTTCATGGTCTCGCCCTGCTGCGGAGTCATCTCGGGGACGACGAAGCGCCAGACGCACTGTCACCAGGACCACTTTCGGCACCAGCGCTAGGCCGGTCGCATGCCCGCTGGAACCCTAAAACCCTAAACCCTAAAACCAAGCGAGACCGAGAACCAAAACCCATCCCATCCTATCCCCTCCTCAACTGTGAAGAAGAAACTAGCAGCTAACTCCACAAACCGCACTGGCAAACCAAACTACAAAGCCCTAAACCTGAAAGCCCTCCAGAGGAAGCCCCTAACTCCCAATCTCCAGGATGGAGTCCGGCAGAATGTCGTCCTTGGATGCATAGGTTTAGGGTTTAGGGCTTAGGGCTGAGGGTTTTGGGCTTAGGGTTTACGGCTTACCGTGGAATAGCGCTTCAGAGACAGTGTCTTGCGACAAGGTTGTGTCGAGTGTATCCTACTATGGCGACGAGCTGCGAAAGCCTGTCTATAAATCGATTTTCCACTTTTGGTTTCCCACCCCATGCCGTCTAAGGCGCCCAAGCCACCCAAACCTGTTCCTTTTCGGGTTTAGAGGCCTAAACTCATGCCATCGCGCTTGTTTGCTTTTTGGGGGGGAAGTTAAGCGCAGCAGGCGGCCGAGATGGCGAAATTCGTCCCAAATCGCCCTAAAGCCTAAACCCTAAACCCAAAACCCTAAACCCAAAACCCTATACTCAAAACCCTAAAGCCCTAAACCCTAAACCCCTAAACCCTAAACCGCCCTAAACCCCCTGAAACTGGCCTGGAGCCCGCTGGGTCCCGGAATTTGCTCGCCAGTAAAGGGGGCCACGGACCGAGCCAAGGGCTGCTCTAACATACTATTCCATAACAATAATCATACCAATCATAATAATCATAAAAATCATAATTAATCATAATTAATCATACTAATCATAATAATCATACTAATCATAATCATCATAATAATCATAATTAGTCATAGTAATCATAATCATCATAATCATCATAAATAATCATAAATAATCATAATCATCATAATCATCATAATAATACTTGTAGTAATGTTCTTTTGTCCCGGCTCAGCCTTGGGGTTCCGGGTATAGACTTTGCACTGGGCCGAGGAGAACGTGTTCCGGTACCGAGTACGACGTGGGTGCTAAGCGCCGCCCACCCACAGTAATACAGGTCCTTAGTTCCGATCAGGTCTTCGTCTGGAAGTCCTGATTTCAGGAAGAAGAAGTAGAACGCTAAATTTCTCATACGAAGACTAATGCTAGCTACCAGCACGAGTATCAAAATATCAAAATCATCACCCCCAAGGCCACGGATCACAAGCACCAACCTTTAGGCTCTATATCAAGATCTCCCTAAACCCTAAACCCTCAAACCGAACTCGCTAGTCTCTATGCCCAGCACCCCGCGCTCAAAACCAACCAACAACTCACAAACCGTGCGTGCTCAAGGAAGGCGGGTTTAGGGCATTTTGGGGTTTAGGGTTTAGGGTTTAGGGTATTTGGGGGTTTGGGGTTTAGGGTGTGGGGTTCAGGGTTTAGGGTGTAGGGTTGATGGTGAACCCCAGAAAGTTGGAACATAGATTTCGGATGATTGGTGCTGGGATTCCCTACACTTTTCATTAACTAGGTTCCCCAGTCGCCCCTAAGTAACAAGGGTACCCTTCTTCCTACTCTTTGGTGTTTCTTAAGGGAACCCAAACAGAAGAAGGGCCAAAGGGGTTCTACTGTAGTCAGTGATGCCTCGGAGCACCCTAAACCCTAAACCCTTTCATTAAGGGCATGAGGATAGTGATGTTCCAACTTTCTGGCGTCTACTGT